GGGGGGGGAGAGCAAGGAACAACTAATGCAGTCAAATTGCACACATCAAGAAGCGAGAGAAAAGACAAAGAAAGAAAAACAGCAGCTTCTAGCTTATCTAAATCTGTGGGAAAAGCCAGGCCAGATTGAGGGGAGACCGATACTTTCATGGATCACAGCTAATCTTCTGTAAACTGAGACGGCTCGTACGTTTGGCAGATTATAGACTACAGTTTAATTGGGGTGTATAATAACATGGTCTTGACCTTTTCTAAATCTAGTTAATCACATTTACTGCACACAGAGAAAATCTACTTGGACAGAAAATTTAAAAAAAAACAGGCAGTGAAGACAAAAGACAAGGCAGACAAGGGTACAAAGGAATGAGAGAAATATACCTCTTTCAGAAGGTTTTGAAATATGCTTTTGTTTGATAGTGTCTGAAAGAGAGAAGAGAAGGAGAAGAGACAGACAGAGACTCAGAGAAATGGGCTCGTAGACTGACAGAGGATCAGTCAGTCAGCGCTGCCCGACTGAGACCTGCAGCTGAAAGTGAAATGCTTTAGAGAAAAAAACAACCACATCAAGCAGTACATCTACATAGGCTGACAACACTGAAGAAGTGAAAGAAACATCCCCCCCCCCAGTTCAAGAAATGCATGATATCATGATGACAAACAAAACAATAGAGCTGAGCCTGGACTAGCTTAATAAATATCAGATTTGGCTAACAAAGAGCAGGACGAAGATGGAGGAGAACATGAACAGAAAGGGGAGAGCGTAAAAACAAAAGGCGATAAAAGAATGAGGACTCTTGCTCGATTAGATTACAAACATTACAGCTATTAACATCTGCAGGGACTCTCTGCTCTCGCCCGAGTTCACATGCTCTACTCTTCCCCCATCAGGACTCACTGTCACACGCGTACGGCTTCTCTCGGTCCTCCAGTGCCGCCGTATCCAGCTTCTTCCTGGTACTGCCCACTCCTCGACTCTGAGGAACATAGGCTGTATTAAGAGTCTGTGACACACACACACACACACACACACACACACACACACACACACAGCTGGGATGAACTCTTGAGAAAGTGTGCTCACGCACACTCGGCAGTTATTTACCTTCGCCTTTCCCTTGCCTCTTCTTTTAGGCGTGTCCTCCTCATAGTCTTCATCATCCAGGTCATCCAGGAAGTCATCTGGCTCAAGGACTCTCTATGTTGAGGCAATGAGGAAAATACAAAATGTAAAACAATTTTCTTGACTCCAAATATATCTTAAGCTGAAAACAAGAACCTTTCTAATGCGAGCAGCCGGGTTCAGGCCTCCGGTGTAGTCGCTCTGGTTTGAATCCTCCTCAGACCCTCGCAGCTCTGTGGTCGGCCGTTTTTCCACGGACTCCCCCTTCAGCAGGGCCTCCAGGCTGCTGCCATCCGCTGGTAACAGAGCATCCTTCTTCACCCCTACGTCTATCTCTATGAACAAAACACATTCTTTATTTATAACAGCAGTTGACAGAATAAAATAGAGAATGAGCGGAGTTGAGCTGAGCTGAATGATACCTGACTTGACAGGAGGGAAGATAAGCCGCGGGTCCTCTTGAGGATGAGATCGGCGTTTCTTCCTCCACCTCCTCGATGGGTAGGTGTAGAGCTGCCCCGGTGCCATGCCTGAGGGATCAGAGCAAACCCGTCTACATAACACTGGACCTATATTAACACACAACGTGTCAGCATTTTGTGTCAGAAACTGACAAAAAGCTTGTTAGCGTAATTGGCCTTCTCATTGAAAGCCAAGAGAGCACATTTAGCTGCGAGCTTGATTAAAGTGACACACCGCTCCCCATTCATCCATTCAGTAAATCTGAACAAATCCTTCATCCTAGACACTGGCCTTAAAGAATCCTGTCTGAGGGCGTACAGTGCATTTGAACTACATGTTGTGTGCCTCACCTGGTCCCCTGTGTCTCTTTTCCATCCAAATGTAGCAGTTGCTCTGAGCCACACCGGTCTGAGAGTCGAGGAACGGCATGCGGACACTCCTCTCGGCACAGAGCCTGGCATTGTAGTTATGGCACTGCTCCATGGCGTCTCTGTAGTACTGCTCTCCCAACCTGACACCACAAACCAGAGCCAGATGCTTGTTATTCAGTCTATTTATACTTAAAAAACAAAAAGAAATCAGCAGGTGTGGGTAATTCAAAACCAGTGCAGTCTTACTTTTTAGCCCTCTGTCAGTTTAAAGCCTGTTTTCTTTCTCTGTTGTGCTGCCACCCTAGAAAGACGGCTCGCTCACTCACAAGACTTTTGTACTTCAGACTAACTCGTTATCAAGTGCAACAACAGGTGCTTTTGTTGGTACATCAACAACAAAGAGCACGGGAGTCAGTCACAATTGTGCTGTTTTCAACATAAATATACTCAAACAGGGCTGTGAGCTTATCCAGAGTAACTTTATTTTAAATGTGATAGCTACAGTGACTGTAACTCTTTGGTCCCCAGATAGAAGGAGTGATCTCCGAGGCCACTCTTTCATTCATTGTGGACTAGTTGGCCAGAAGCACTCCAGCCTGCGTTAACAGCCGCAGCTCGTTAGCGCGAGAGCCACCTAGCTGCTGTACTTCACCGACGTTAGCACCGCGGTAGCCGTTTGGCCAGCAAGACACAAGTAACCGTATTACCTTCATAAATACATTTATGATCAAATTGACGCGTGTTCTATTACATTGCCTCGTGATTCGTGTTTTGTTTTTTTTAGAAACGTCATCTGCGTGCCTGCTAACTTAACACTTCCATTCCAGGATGTGAACACACACACACGACGGTCCGACGCTGGCTAACCTCACTAAGTCAGAGGGAATGGTGGTAAGCTAGCTGGTGACGCGGTCATTGGCTGTACGAGCGTACATTTGTTGTGATGTGACTGCGGTTTGAGTCGACTGGTTTAGGTGTAAAGGTGTGTAGAAAAGTCCAACACTTACAGTTTGACAACATTCTCAACAACAGCTGCCATCTTGCTTTGGTAGACGGGAAAATTGGCCGCGGGCTATATGTGCCCTCCGTCAGGACTTGTAGGCAGATAGCGCAGGAGCGTGACACGTAGCGCCCCTTACTGGGACATTGTGGCATTGCAGGATGTTTTATCATACAAAGCAATACAAATGTGATTCTGACTTATTTCCAGACAAATGTTATCGTCAGCAGCTCATATACATGGAGGATAAATTATCCATCTGCATTATATTCTTGATAAAAGTACAATAGAGCTATTTTTAATGTTTTGAGTAACACCTAAACTGTTACCAAATTACATTTACAAATTATAGGTAAAGGCTACACTTACACTTTAATGTCACCAACCTCATAGTTAGGGTTCATCTGAAAAGTTCCACTGTGAATTTGAACTTCAAATTTATAATTCTGTTATTCACACCTAAATGCTTTTAATTTGTTGACTCTTCCAGTCCCGTCATGGCTTTTAAATTCAAGTCCCAGGAAACCATTTAAACAGCACAGACCAAGTTAAACTGCTCCATGAGGCGTTTCCTCGGCCCCCCATACAGCCTTTCTCAATATATACTTTTAGATGATGTTATCTTTTATTCTGAGGTCTTTGACCACCATCCTCATCTATTGTCAACCTCCAGTACAGAGATAACCACTGTGATGAAACTAAGGCTCAGGTTTCTCTAGGTTTGCTCTACTCTTTCATCCACTAATTCATCATAAACCTACTGTATGTCATTAATCGATCATCCTTGACCTCATTGGCTGCAGTTGCATCATTAATATTATTCTTAATGACTGCACTGCAGCAACATCCTCTACACCCATACAACTATATTTCACATGTACTGTAGTAAAATGTGAACACGGAGAAGAATTATACTATTCATTTTCAAATTATGATCCAATTCTGCTCTCTTGTAGCTGACAAATTGTTTTATGAATTTACGCGCACCAACAGGCTGACAAACTAAAGGATTCTCACTCAAGGTTTCCTTTAACTTGTCTTATCTTTCTGTAGTGTGTACATGAAACTGCTGTTTTGTTTTCATGAGAATTTCTATAGAGGAAAAAAATTTATTCTTCCTCTAATCTAATAGCATGCAGAACAGTACATTGTTGAGATAGTACATGACGTCATTGGTGTTGATCAAACAATGAAATAAAGATAATTGGAAGTTAAAACCTTTGTTTGAACTAAAAACAACCATTTGTTCATCTTAATTTTGCCCATTAATTTAACAGACGGGATTCAGTTTACTCGTCATGGGGAGTATTACTTATCCTGTGAAAATACAGTATTTGTATAATGTCTTTTTTAGCTCTGGAATGAGCTTTCCAAAGTATGAAAAACATAACCCTGCCTAACAAACTGATGGTGCAGGGTTTGAAAGGTGGTGCCCATTAAAGAGGCAAGAGTCTAATGAAAGACACTATTAAGTTGCATGATGGGCAATGTAAGATCTAAATATCAGGGTATCCCTGACATTGATTTTTAACCTAGAACAATACTAAATTGCACCAGGGACAATGTTTTCTGTATACTTATAACAATACAGTTTACTGTGAAAACCTGACTTTCTCTCTTGTGCACCGAACAGAATAAAAGCTGGTGCGGTGGATAACCTTTTTATCATAAAACAAAACCCAAACAATATCATGATTTTGATTAAACCATGTTTTATTATTCCTAATATTAGATGTAGATACACAAGTCAACAAACATTATTTTCGATTTGTAATGAAAATGCTCCACAGCACACTGACATCGTGTGGAAGGGTCTGGTATTACAGACACGTACCTGAAAATGGACAGCAGTTATAATTTTTGCAATAAGTTGCATTAGTAACAGTAGTAGTAATAGTAACAACAGTAGCAATAATGATTATAATAGCAATTAATAATAGTAGTGGTATTAACAACTCTGAATTACAGAGGAAGGAACAGACATTCGTCAAAAGTAATGAGAAATGAAGGTAGGAGGACAGGCTTATCAAATGCTGCAAGACAGACCACTGGAGGAAAAAATACAAGCTCCCACTAGACAGCAAGTGTCCTGCCTTTTTCTAAAAAAAAAGGAAGCTCAAATTGTCACCAGTCTGATTTCACCCATATCTAATACAAGTAAAAGTTGTGTTTTTTTCTCTTCATCAAGTACTCCATTGTTACAAGTAATCTCATTACCAAAAACATGTCTCTTTGACATCAATAATACATTACGTCCCACGTTCTGGTCAAAGCTCACCAGTGGCACGATGCTATTTTAAAAAGGATGCCGTATGCAACATCGAATCACAGCCAGCTGAGGACACATCCACAAAACTGGATTGCCAGGGTCATTCTGCATTCGTTATACAGTATTAATGTGTGTGCGAAAGAGAAAGTTTTGTGTACAGTATGTCAAGTATGTGAAATATTTTTGCTTCTCGTGACCAATTTGGCCAAACTAATTTGAATCATTCACATTCAAATGAGCCGATAAGAAAATACACTGTGTGACCTTTAGACATAGAGACTCGGACATCAACTGAACGCTGTTGTCTGATGTCCGGAGCAGAGAAAAGGTAGCAATGATCACTAGAAACAGCTCATCCACTGGGGAAGAATGACTCTTCCATTCGAAAAATTGTGCACAATGTACGCTAACTGCATTGGCTCACTTGTGTATGCAATGACCTCATTGACTTGGTTCCCATGATGGTATAGCTTTGTTTAAGGATACTCAATCTGGGAGCTGGGTCGCCCACCCGAGATACAAAACCCCACTGACAGAGACAAAGGCAGTCAGTTTGAGAAAGTTTGGACCAGGGTGCTGTCAGCCGTTCAATAGTCTCAAAGTGGATGTTCACAGATTTCACATCTCTGGCTTCGGGGGTCTTTGAGCAATAGATCACTGGTTCCACATTCATTTGGGACTACGAGATAAGGCCGACCTGTTTAAACTGCAACCAGTTTATTTCCAGCTGTTTGTGATGTCACAACAGTTTGGTGTGACATTCCAGTGGACTTCAAGCCCTCCAAGATATGCTATACACATCCAGGCAAATACCAGCTTTAAAGAGTTAATTTCAAGGTGAAATAAATTACAAAATAATTGATTACTTGAAACCTATACTTGAAATAATTCATAAAACTCTTAAAATTCATGTAATTGTCGTCCTGTAACTTCTTGTGGCATTTTGGCAGTTAGAAAGATCAATTAAAACTTGGATTTAAGTGATTGACTATAACAGTTAACAATCAATTTGTATAAAATGTCACTACTGCCTACAGTCTCACAAAAACTGTAAATGCTTTCATCGTTTGAAACATGTACCATATTTAAGCAGACTAAATAAAACACCTATCATATTTTGTACATTAAACATATTGGATTGCCATGATCTTGTTTCAGATTACTGTAAATGCCAATTACACAGAATTAGTTGCTCTCCAGCCCTGAATATGAAGTGATCTCATGTTTTCAGAGTACATCAACACAGAAGAGAATAGATGGCAACGATGACACACATACAAGTATGAACCTACATGAAGTCATGCCACATATGCAAGAGCACAAAGCTCGTCTTGGAGACAATTTAGGACTCTTCCCTCTCTGCCAGTTAGTGAGCAGAGCTTTCCGTGGTTACTATAATTCATGTTGTACCTGCATACGTAACCCACTGACATACATTAGATCATTGCCACAGGGCACATATTTTTAACATTCCCGTCTTCGTACTACGAAAGCTTCCTTAAAGACTGTTCGAATGGAGGGTTAGGGTTTGTAAAAAGGGGGTTCAGTGTATCCGTAATGGGTTCAAGTAAGGCTCAATACACCCGTCTGTCATGTAGCACATAAGCCGCATTCTTCACTTCCGCAGCCCTCACTTCACTCAATGAGACCTGTCCAGCTGTCCATCTGACCTGCTTGCATCCCCGCGGTCTGCCACAGAGAATGTGCTTCAGCTTCTTATCTACAAACAGCCCCCCCATGCCGTCACACCAGTAGATAGAGAGAGAACAGATATAGATATTAGAAGACTAAAACAAAAATAATTAAACCGTCTTGTGGAACTCCGTTGGGTAATGTCAGCTCACATATAATAAAAACCAGAAGCAAAGAAAAGCTAATATTATGAAATCATTCCAGTAATATTATTTTGTGTTTGTGTCTGGTTTTTGTCTGCGTTTGCGTACCGGAAAGCAGCCACGTTTGATCAGGAATAACTTAAACGTGCAAAGTCCACAGCACCACAACTCACACCCACGCACGCACACACTAGAAAACTAATCTTCTCTGCTTTGTACAGAAAAAAGTTGAAAATCAAGCAGAAAAGACCACTCAAAAGAAATGATCAAATACAGGCAAAATTAGAGACAAAATAAAAAATATAACCACTTATTAAATATATATATATTATTTTCCCAATGAAACTTGTGATCACTTACTGCACACTTCTAAAATTTTATGAGCTTTATTTTTTTTCTCAAAAACACCTCATCAACTGTCATTCCTAGAAAACAAAACAAAATATTACATACAAGGGCAAGCCCAACATTCTCCACTAATTTAACCAAAAACATTAATCATGAATATCTAATAGCAAATTAATTAGCTTGTTTTCTCAAACCAGCAATAGCAAAAGATAAATAATAATAATAATAATAATAATAATAATAATAATAGCAATAATAAATCGGTCAGGTTAATAACATCAATACAAAGTACAGAAAAAGAGAGTGATGTAATCCTCCCACAAAGAGAGAGCGCTTTAAAGCGGGGAAATAAAACCAGAGTGCACCCCAGTGTAAAGCCACCATCCATTGTTTTATTAGTGACACGGCATCAAAACGGCTCAGCTAGTCAAGACTCGTACTTACTTAGGCCTTTGTATTCCTTGCAGAACAAAACGGCCATTGATGAAAAGTTTCCACCACGACCCAGTCAAGACTCACTGAAGAGAAAATATTCATTCTGAAGGAGGGCCGTTTTTGGTGGATTGAAACTGAACTGGTCCCGAATCCCTACTAATGCCAACCACAGCCGTCACTGACTTAAGACCAATAAGCTCCGCTGGTTGGCTGAAATTGCTTGAATTTGGATGAAGGCTTTCGTTGCTGGGTGCAGCTAAATGTGAAATATGAATTGGTTGAACGAAAAAGTAAATGACGGATAGAAACCGGCGAGGGAGAGAATAAGAGCGAAAGAAAAGAAACAAAGTTCTCTGTAAGCCACATACGATAGTAGCCGTCGACAGATTCCTCGGGGTCTGCACTGAGAGCAGTGTGTTTGTGTTACCTCTTTGTACTTTTGCTTTCTGACCGCTTCAGTTTGTTGAAATTTAGACAAATGTAGTTTCCAGCGATAACACAAGTGTTCTATTTTTTCTTGCCAAAGAAGCTGAACCTCTTCTCGCGGTCCTTCTCTTTGCCGTCTTTGTTGCGCATGGTAACGCCTCCGGCTTCACCTGAGCCGGGGGAGATGGGAGGCATCGTCATGGCGCGGCTGAGCGCCCGTGGAGCTACGGGCGAGTCTGCTGAGCCTGTTGGAATGGCGCTGACGATGGAACCGATCCAGGAGCTCATCTCAGCCTTTAAACAAAAAAACAAAAACATTTATTATACGTCACTATCGTCAAGCACGGTCACAGCACACACACATAATTTGTATTGAACTACTTATTTTAGTAGAGTCATTCTGTTTTATACATCTTACCTCATCCTTCGCCTGAAACAGGTACTCTTTCCCATCCCCTAGCCTGCAGACACAGTGTTGATGATGTAAACCGTTAGTCAAATACAAGCTATCAAGTCTACATCTTGGTATTTCATCGTCTTTCATTGTATTTATAAAATCGAACAGGGTGAAAAACATACTCTATCGGGAATCCTTGTTCTGGGGTTTTTAAATTGCCTATATTCTCACCTGAGCTTGAATACAAATCTCCTCTTCTTATAGCCGTGTGCTACCTCACACACAGCCTCTCCCAGGCTGATGGGTACCTCTCCGTGGTATGGAATGCCATTGCTAGCGCTCTTGCCGTCTTTATAGAAACCGAGACTTCCTTTTCTGAGGGCACAGTACACGTTCTGCCAGGACCTACAGGAACAAAGAAACAAGATCAGGACATTTGGTACAATATTCCTCTTGACTATTGTAGAAAGGTAGTGACACTGCAAAACACAACTTGAAAGATGTAACAGAGTAAACTAAATAAGATGAAATAAGGTAGGCATGAGCCGGAAGTTTTAGAGTTCTACAGCATATCACATTAAAACACGTTGGGACAGATTAAGACACAACCAACTTAGTTTTTCAATGTTTTTTAACTGAAATCAAGTCTGGTCTCGGCTCTCTGATGACTATTTAAATGCACTTGACCGATATCAACACTCACCTGGTAGCTGCCTTTTTGCTGTGGGACTCCATCTCCTGCTTTCGACAGAGCATCCCCTCCATGGCATCGGGCTCTGCTCCACCTTTGCTCGGTAACGTGGCAGAAGGCTCAAGGCGAGAGGATGCCAGCCCGCTGTCCCTGCCTGGTCCGTTCACCGACTCGGACTCGGAGCCCTGTGGTTCAAACCAGAACATGAATGGTCGTGAGGAGGTAGAAAAAAACATGGTGACTGGATGGAAGCAGTGAGCAGCAAAGCAGCCATTCACAGCCGTACGTGAAAAGTCATGATGACGCTCGTTTTTGTCGGCACTGTGTGATTACCTGAGATAACAGTGTAGCCGCATAAACACACAGTACACTGATATACAATTAAAACAACCCGCATGAATGCATGCTACTCTGAACATGGATAGTTAAAATGTTAGAAAAATAATCTAAATGTACTGAGGCAACCTGATATACTTTTCGATTGAAACAAAGGCAGATACCAATTTGTAATGTAAATATTCTCTATAAATCAATAAATGATAACTTAATAACTGCAACACACAAACAAAAACATGAACACACAATTACAGTACAACTCTAAAGCCTTAAAGCATCCACATCTCTAGCTTTCATTTACTTTATGAATCCTAAATACAAAAACAAAGACTATAAGATGCCTCTTAAAGTACTGAATTGTGACAGCAGAGGAAAATATCAGCTCAGGAGACATTCTTGTGCCTTTTTTTGAGCTGTTGAATGACTCATCACAGGAAATGTACACATGTGGGGAAAGACTAAAACAAGGTACACATAAATCAGCTAAGAACAGATACAATTATCACCACATTAGCACATTTACAGTAACTCTTGTCCTGGTCAATATGAGCACACATACAACAGCAGACTTGATCCATGAGAACAATCTGTTCATGAATCTGCACCATGCCTTTAAAAACAGCAATGGGACTCATTAACGAAAGATAAATAAATAAAGCAATGGTTTGGGTCTGTGATAGAGAGCGATGGCTTCTCAACAGAAGAAAAGAGGCGCTGCAGTTGACCAGGAGCTGAGCGGAGGCTGTGACGGGGGGGCGAGGGGAAGCTACACAGCTGACCACGGCTTGGTACTCACACGCTCCGGCTGCTTTGGCTTACACACACGTTTAGGCTCTGATTTCTTTCCCACTGACAACGGTAGCGATTTTGACTGCTGATAAAAACGCAATAAGAAATTGTTAAGAAGTCTCGTCTGCGGCAGAAACTTGAAAGTGAGAAACTGGGTTCAGACACATCACCATTATGATCGGCTGCTCATAACAGCCGTCAACAACGGTGTCCATAAACCGTCAAATTTATGAAGTTCCATTAATACAGAAATGGCTCTTGAAATAAGTTTACTTCTGCTTTCCATAAGGTGCTTATTTTCATCTGCCAGTGAGGTTCTTTACTAGGATAGTGTAACATTCTGACATGCATGGACGTTTACTGTGCCCTACCCAGATCCCAACCCCCTCCTTTACAGGTGCACTGTCCTATTGAATCAGGCTTCCTGAGGTGTTGGGTGGGTTTCTTCCTCTGTAGTGTGGAAGTATCATCAACAATACCTTCAATCAAATCTTATCCCGATCATAAAGTATTGCTCCATATATACTATTTCATAGGTATTTTTGTTTTACTGGCTATTTTCTGGTAAAAACACAGATAGTTTATTTCAGTTGGATAATAGCAATGTCACTATATAACAAAGGAATATGTGTCAAAAGAACACTGTTATTATTAGAGTGGAACAGACAGACAGGGACACACACTCAAATACAGTGATATGTGTAGTGTAATGTACTCAAACTCATATATTTTAATAATATTCATTGTTTGCAACAAACTGTTGCCATGTTTTTGCCAGTAATGTATTATTATTAGATGTGGACATCTCATGCTAACATTAATGCAAATAACCAGTATTTATTTTTCAGATATCTTTCTCTATTAAACTGTTTAACACAGATTGATTGAAGGAGTCATAATGTAGGAGATGAGGCATGAAACATGGAAGGGACATTACATGCCAGAGCCCTAAGGTAGAAAATGACTCTGTTGCACCACAGAGCAGAAAGCCTGTTATGTTCAAAGGATTTGGATCCACAAAACACTCACCTGCGATGTGTCATTGTCGCTGTGAACTCCATTCACCGACACAGACTGATTGAGTGTAGTCTGGTCCAGACTGGTTCTGAGTTGGAGAGCGAGTGGAAAGCATGTTAATAAAATATATTAAAAACAATGTCTAATTGTACTATACATCAACACGGCTCTGCTCTACCGGAAGTCCTCTTTGGTTTACCTGGCTTGAGAATCGTGTACTTGACTTTCTGTTTCAGATTGTGCCACTTCTGCTGGGGGTGGTGTAGGGGGTCGCCTTGCTCTCTCTTCTTCCTCTAGCCGCTTCTGGAGCTCATGCTCCTCAAGCTGAGAAATGTAAAGTCAGTGGTGATAGCTAAACGTAACGCCACATGAGTGAGGGAGAATCAATGCCTACACTAATAGATGAGTGGCGGACATCCTCTACCTGTACATACCAGGCCACTCAGAACTAACTTACACCATTCTCAAATACACAGAAACATTTTACTATGTGATGCAAGTCATTGTTTTAATTACCGTAGTAAGTTTCTCCAGCAGCACAAAGCGGTCTTCCCAGGCTGTAGCAAGTTTCTCAAAGGCCTCATGGCGCTTAATTAGGCTCTCTACCTCATCCACATTTGAGCCCAGCTCTGCTGCTCGCACCAGAGGTTCTTGCCCTGCCAACCAGGACTCTGCCACACAGGCATCGCGTCCGAACTGCAACACCTCCAGCACTGCGATGCAGCGATAAGGGGCGCAGAAGACAGAGAGAAAAAGAAAAAGAAAGAGATAGAGAGTGAACAAATACCGGGACATTGAGAAATACGGCATCAAGAACTATTAGCAATGAGTCAGGTACACATTTGGTCCATTTCAGACCACCAAATAAAAACATTCAAAAAAATAAAAAGTTAGCCCTGGCTCAATTTTTGCCACTACGCAATTACCACCAATCAAATAGTTTTAAGCACACATGCCTTATAGAATGCTGTGTGGTGTGTGCCTTGTAGCATTTTGCCGTTTACCTCTGGATGCCATGATAACCTTCAAACCGGACATACCCGTTTGTATTTTATCTGCTACCTTTACCCTGTAGCAACCACAACAAAGTACACTCCGCATTTCATTTGCCATGGCACTACAAGCTTCAACGTGCCCTCATGCAGACTATACAACATGCAAAGCAGGCATACCTATTTGTAAATGGTCCATCTTGTCTTGCCACTTTTTGTTGATCTTCTCTCTCTTTTGCTGGAGTTGAGCCAGTTTCTCCCGGACCTGTGAATCAAAGATTCAAACATTCAGTGACGAGAAGACACATGACAAGATTGACTTTAAGCAATAACCCACAATGTTCCATTTTCACTCAGAGACGTTATTTTAAATATGCAATAATATGACTGCAGATAACAGTGAAAGTGACCCAGTGCACAGTACCTCATCAGTTGCATAGTGATTATTGTTGATAAGAGAATGTCCCATCTCAATACAGGCAGTAAAGCTGTCTGCCCTGGTCTCAATCTCTGACTTGATGTCCTGATGATTGGCAATGACCAGCCCTGCAGAAGACACATCCCTGGGACAACGGAGAGGAGAATGAGGTGAGATTTAATTATACTCGTCCCACTGATTATAACAGCATTCATTACCGTAACTGGAAAACTAAGCATGAAATGTCACCTGGGGCTGTCGTGTGCGTCTATCTGCAGATTGACACCGTCCATCCAGAGCATCAGGTCTCGCACCATGTTGAAGAAACGGAACTTCTCCACAGTGTCCAGCAGGAGGAGCCTGCGGGCCTGACCGGCCTCAAGCAGGCCTTCCCAGGCAGAAGTCACAGCATGTTCACTCCTGTTGATGTCATCTGCCTTCTCCCCAGCATAAGCCTTCTGCAGCCGTGCTGCATCATCTTGCACCTGGTTCACCTATGAGATCAAAGAGGAGACATTCAGTTTTCTGTTCACATGGCTCTTTTGGCATCTCACATGAGAGCTCTTTATTAACAGAGAACAGACCTGTCCACTGAGGGCCTGGATGTCATTTTCGAAAGTGTTGTGCTGTCTGTGTAGATGCTGAACGGTGTTCAGATCACGGCCAAGGTCAGAAGGCAGCCCTTCCCTCTTCTCCTTCATACGTCCAAGCACCTCCATGGCATCCTGATGGAAGCGGTGCAACTCATAGGAGGCTGCTAACATTTGTGTGCGTGTGTCGATCAGCTCCAGCAGATCAGCCCAAGCCTCGTTTAACCCGTCTTTCCACTCAGCCACACTAGCGTTCTCAGGATGACCCGACTCAATCAGGTCATCCGCCAGCCCGTTTACACCATCTACACGCTCTTGGCCAATGTTGCTGGTGTCACGAGCAAACTCCCGGAACTTGTCCCTCAGCATCTGTAGAAAGAAAAATCAGGGCAGAAGTGGGAAACGTCATTCATTTCAGCCAAATTTCCCTGAGCTTCAGTGTCTACAAAGTATGTGACGGGGGGGAAAAAAGAAAAAAAACTTACTGTGACATGTTCATAGTCCTGTCCTAGTTCATGGGAGCCAGCAACCACTTCCCTCTCAGCAATCCACTGTTCCAGGTCATCCACCTCCCGCTTCAGCTGGGTCAGTCGCAGTCTCTCTTGAAGTCGCCCACGACGCTCCTCAGCGAGGTCTTTCAACCCTGCATACAGTTTGTCAACTTGGGATTGCCGTAAGGTGATTCTCTCGCTGTGTTAAGATAGAAAAGAGAGCAACACAGATCAGTGGGTTGTAGGTGGACAACTTCTTTCTTAAGAAGGCTTGTATCACAGTTGACACTTCAACATTTAGATCTATTTCTGCATTCTTACCTCTCTGGGTGTTCGCCGTTGACCATGGTGCGGCTGCTGTTGGCTAGTTGGTGAATGGTTTGGGCGTAGTCTTCAAGTGCCTGTTCCAGGGTCTGGTGCTTCTTGACCATCACTAGTGCGCTTTGCTCATCCTGGGAGACAAATGGGAAATTATGATACTTTGTCAAGACAAAAGATTGTGAAAAAGCAGCACCAAGAGCAGTTTTTTTGTCTTATTTTGTCTCGTCTTACCTTGGCTTTTTCCTCTGACATCATGTGTAGCTCTTGTTCTCCCATCCAGGCCTCTGCCTCCGCTGCATCAGCATAGAACTGCTGGGCGCGATTTGCCTCTATTAGACGGGCATGGCGCTTGTCTGTCTCGGCTATCAGCTGGTCCCAGAGGTCCCGCAGCTCAACAAGGCGCTCCTCTAGGACAGACTGCCTCTCACCATCTACCTGGCTCTGAGTCTGGCCTCGTCTATGGATGTCATCGATGCGAGGCTGGTGGCCCTGGATCTCCTTCTGCAATGTCTGATTCAGAAACAGAGAAGGTGGGTTGGCATTTTCTGCATCTCACATTTGCCTTAGGTGTATATTCATTGAAAACGTTTAATAATTCAGAGGTAAGTCAGTTTTATCTTCCTTTAATTACCCTGCATTACAACAATTTAAACAATTTTGTATTCACTGTACCTGGTTCTTCTTGATTAGCAGCTGTACGGTGGGCAGGTCCTTTCCATGGTCTGTGGAGTCTGCCAGGGGCATCCTCTCTTTCACCCAAAGCTGAGAGAAAAGCAAACCGGTTCATAAAAGATGATCAGGCAAAACAGATGCAAGACAAACACAAAATGTTTTACATCTAATTTAAGGAATTGATCAGGTGATTCGACTCACAATTTCATCCTCCAGATCTCTGTTGAATTGATGTGCTTCTTTGGAGGCGAGTAGTCGCTGTCTCCTCAGTTGGAGAGGATCCTGAAGGTTGGAGAAGTTGTCAGTGACACGCCTTTGCTGACCATCTACCTCAGCAATTCCAGCGTCTTCCTGGGACAGAGCCTGAGCCTGAGACTGAAGGGACTGCACCTCCTTCTCTCTGACATCCATCTGGTGCTCCAGCATCTACGCAGCGACAGTACAAAGATGTTAGAAGATATGACATTTGACAGTGTCCATTTAACATTTGGCCAGTTCCACCAGCAAGTGCAGGATTCATAAAATGCCATCTGTAGATTCAAATGAACAGTATTTCTTGACAGCAAAGATGACATGGATTGTGCTCTACAGTGTGCTCTACCTGGTGCTTCTGGAGCAGGATGTTGACACTGGTCAAATCCTTGCCATAGTCGTCGTTATGCAGCTGACCCTCCAGGTTTTTCAGCCACACATCCAGAGCAGAGCAGCTCTGTGTAAAGAGCTCTGCCCGGTTAGCATCGAACAAGCACCGGGCCTTGGTTTGGGTGGTGCCCTCCAGCTCCTCCCACTGACGCTGTAGGTCATCCAGGGTCTGCTGAACAACAGGCTTTAGCTCCGGCTTCTCGGCCACCAGTGCCTGACCCTCCTGTTGGAGACAGGAAACAAGGACAAGTTTGAATTCAGGTTCATTTTGCTTTGGTAATGCCAGTCGTGCCAGATTGTCCCCAGAAAAAATAGCAATGAAATGCTATATAATGTATATAAAAATGGCCACACCTTATCAATTTTGTCCAGCCAGTCTTTGTTGGAGGCCAGCTCTGCCATGAAGGCCTGATGCTTCTGCCACTTGCTGTGAAGATTTCTGGCCTCATCATAAGACATGTCCTGTGCCGTCAGCATCTTCTCATTTATCCACAATGTGAGCTACAGAAAAGAGAATAGCATTATGGATGAAGTATAACTTCTTTATATTATTAAGTGTTACATACTTTCAGGGCACGAAACATAAAGAAATACAAGTGATCAACAAAAATTCTATAGTTTGTATTTTATGATTAAAGAAGCCATTTATACTCATAATTATAATTATAGATACCTTTCACATATTTATCCCATAAGCATCTTCTACTCATTTATTGATTATGCTATTTTATTTGACTTTAAAAATTATTTTTACCTCCTGTCCATCTTGGAGGAAGTGCTGAAGTTCCCGGTTGTCCTTAAGCTTAGCCAGCAATTCATTTGCAGCCTCCTTATTCTTCAGATGCCTGGAGAAAATTAAGCAGAAAACTAAATACACATCCTGTCTTCAAATATTACACCATCAATACATCCAATGTGGCTTGCTCTAACCTTTCCTGGATGGAATCGACTTTTTCCTGGATCTTATCAGAGTTTGCATTACTGTCGTTAATGAGGCGCCGTCCAGCCTCCACCACACCAGTTATCTTCTCCTCACTGGCCTCTGTGGTGGTGAGGAAATCCTCATGCTTCTTAATGGCCTCCTCTGCTCCTTGAAGGCTGGTGGGCATTTCTGTGTGGGACAGCACATACTCCTACACAGAGAGGAAACAAATGCCATTCTTTAAAAACATTTCTTATGTGCAATTATCTAATTCCAATGCCAAATTGATATATCGGGATATTGGGTAAACAACCCAGTATCAACATGAGGGTAAAGAAGAACAACAACATACATGTGTTGGCCTAAAAAACATTGTGGGAGCAGAGTGACAAACATAAGCTTGGAAAATATTTCACTACTTTACTTTTGGCATCGCAAATCTCAAACATTGAATCAATTTGATTGATCAATTGTATTTAATTGAGACTATGAATGGATTTTGCGATGTAATTTGAATTATATTTACATTTCTATCCAACTCATAGTAACCCATGCTCTGCTTAAAGACTCAATCCTCCACTTAAATCATGCAGTATATCTAGTATTTCAGAAACACACAGGGATTTGGCATCGACTGCTGGACTGTAGACACTGACCAATAAAGCAGTACGTTGATAAATGATTTTTGTTTCAATGAATTCATTTAGTTTCTATAACTCTCTGGTACAGGCTTTAATTCCACAGTGCATGTTCCTAACCTGGCTGTTGAGGAAAGCCTCTGCCTGCTTTGCGTCTCTCAAGAAAGTCTGGAAGTCAAAGGCCTGGGCCAAGAGACTGTGGCGGTTCTCCCACATGCGACGCAACTCATGCCAGCCAGTGTCCAGTGCCTGGAGTCTCTGGGCCAGGAACATGTGCTGGGCATCTGTCTGACCTTGGGTCACCTCATCGCCGACAGCTCGCATCTTCTCGTAGTCCTCCTTATAGTTGTCCACCTCATTCTTAATACTCTCATGCTGGGCTAGCAAACTCTCAGCCTCAGGCAGAGAGGTTGGAATGTCCTCCGAGGCCACGGCTGTCTGGGTGCGGGACAGCCAGGACTGAAAGTCATCCAGATCCCTGAGGAAGCCCTGCAGCTTGCTGGCTTCGCCCAATGACTCCTCGCGCCGCTTCATGGTGGCGTTCAACTCCTCCCACACCTCTTGAATCTCTGCCAGGTGTCCTTGGATCTCTCCTGCCTGATCTGGATGTTCCAAGGCCAGTTTTTCAGCCTCGTTGCTCAGGTCATCCAGTTTGCCCTGAACGGATATGAAAAATGATTTTAACGCAGATATGACGACAAGATACATCAACACGAAGCCCAAAATAATTGACTATCTATTACACAGTCTGTTCCGTTCACATCCCTCACCAATGAGTCACTGCATGTGACCTCTTCATACCTGAATGGCCTCCAGGTCCCTCTCCATGCCAGTGAGTTTGCGTTGCAGCGCCATCACTCCAGCCAGGTCATTGCCCAGGCTCTGGGTGGATTCAATCACTTTGGTTTTTTCCTTCATCCAAGATTGGATCTCATTACACTCCAAGTGGTAGTTCTGGATGTTAAGGGCCGATTCTAGGGCCACTTTCTTTTGGCCAGCCAGTTGTTCGAACTCCTTCCATCTAGGGACCGCAGCAGATGTAATATTTAGGCTAAAATGCTAACCACAGTGCTTATTGAGGACAAATGTATTTCTGTGTTAAATGGTGGGTTTTACTGGGCCTCATATGTTTGCTCTGACCTGTTGTGCAGTTGGTCTCGTGTCTGATGGATTTGGTCTTTGTTACAGTTTTCGGAGCTCAGTAGCTGCTCGGCCACCTGGTTCACATCAGTGACACGAGTGCCTAGGTTGTTCATCTCAGGTTCCAGTGTCTCAAATCTGCAGCCATAAATAATAGACCAGCATCAATTCACTCATTCGTAAAAGTCTAATCTAATAGACTAGATATTTAGGTAGATAATAAAACTGTTTGTGAAAGAAAGCTTATTAATTCACATATTTTCAAAGGATACGATTTCAGACGAATTAAATCTTCTGTATCAACATTCTCCCCTTTCGCCCAGACTAACCTCTGTTGCACCACCTCCAAGTCCTCCAGTCTGGTAGGGATCTCCATGCCATCTAACCACTGCTCCTTTTCCTCCACCCAGAGCTGGCAGGCACCAGCTTCACTGAACATGCGGTAGAGGGCCAGGGCACCTTCCAGAGCCTGGCGCCGAGCTGCTGACAGAGACTCCAGTTCTTCATAACTCTGCTCAATAGCAGGTAGGCGACCATCCACCTACAATCAGCCATAAACAATATTTAGCACCACAAACAGTAAGTCATCACTGAGGAAGCATAAGAAAAATAAAGCACACATACCTGAGGGAAATGTACATAGGCCTCTGGCAGTGCTTGGACCTGCTCGTGCAGGGAGTCGATGCCGGGGCGGTGACTTTGGATCTCCTCCTCTACCTCCCTCTGCTTGCGAGCGAGAGTTTGGGTGGAGAACTCATCATGGCCCACCTCCTGACTTGACACCTGTCTAAGTGTCTCCATGATCCATACCTCCATGTCATCGGCATCTGTTTGAAACTGGTGCAGGGCTACAGCTTCCTTGAGGCTCTGCTCTCTGAGCTTAGTTGTCTGGGGAGCAGATTGAGCAGGACAATTACAAACACAAAAAAAAAACAATAAATGCAACCATTTATACAGTACAAATACAATGAATCGTGATCACCACCCACCTCCTCCAGATGTGTCCACTGTGCACGGATGTCTTGAATCCTCTCGGTGACCTCTGGGGCTCCAAAGTGTCCCTCCTCAACTAAAGCCTCTCCGGCAGCGATGCTGTTACTCAGGGGGCCGTAACGGGCTGCCATCTCGTCCCTGAAGGCCTCATGTTTGCTGAGCAGGTGAAGGGCAGAAGTGAGGTCACGGCCACAGTCTCCACTGGCCAGGATCTGCTCCTGCTCTCTGATCCAGGCTGCCTCTTCTCCCACATCCCACAGAAACTGCCACAGGCGGCGTGACTCCTCCAGGCGCACTCTGCGTTTCCCAGCAAGCTGACCAAGCTCCTCATAGGCTTGCCCGAGGAGGTCAACCTTCTCACTCACTAGTCCCGGCTCACACGGTTTGTAGGCTGGCAATTAGAAAAGGCAGGAATACATTGCACTTAGATCTTGTGCACAAATAGATGAGACTAAATCTACATGATCTGTAGACTCACTCTGTTCATAGGAAGTGAAGCGCTGTGCCGTTCCCTGAACTGCCTTGATCCTCTCTGCCTGAGCTGAAATGTCAGCCTCTACCAGAGTGTGTTTCTGCAGTAGGTCCAACACATCATGCAAATGTTTGCCACTGTCCTGAGACTGCAGACGACCCTAAAACAGAAGATTTGTTGTTTAATATAAATAGAATTTAAAAAAGAAAACCTCCAAACTGTTTGCAACCGCACCCACAAGGTAGGAATCTAGTTTTGTATTTTGTCTACTAACATTTAAAACAAATATATATTTATTTATATATTTTGAATCATTACCATTTTATGAGCTATGTTTGGCACATCGTGACATTTTAAACGGCCAAAGACCAGTAATGGCTGACAGCAGAATTTCAACAAGCTGTAGCTTCAGACCATTAACTTGCTGCTACAAACACAATTAAATACAGACAATAAACTGTATACAAGCATTCTAATTATATACCAGTAACCACTGAAAATGACAGAAGAAATGGATTCATATCCTGAACAACTCCACCCCAGACAAACAAACGCAGACAGCTGTCCCCCATAAAAATGAAACACCTTTAACTGTTTTTCAACTGGGAAGTGTAAAGAAAACCTCAAAGGCTAACAATGGAACGGGTCAAAGCTCAAAAGCAGCAAATAGTGCGATATTTATTTAAGGTGGTGGGTGGCCAACGAGGCCACGCCCTCAGAGTAGCAGAGAGGCATACATGCTATATTTTAAACAGATACACAACTGATAAATATTCACAAGTGTAAAACTATTATTATTATTATAATAATTATTCGAATTAAGACCCAGATTTAACCATGTAAGGTAAAAAAAAGACCTCAGCCAACCTCAGTAAAGCCAACACAGCTCAGGCCTGTAAAAAGCTAATTACTGCTGTTAATGGTCCTCAGATAAGCAGACACTAAAGCTGCCGAGGACATATGTGAACAAACACCAACTTAATGAGAGGATTAGGAAATTCCTTTTTGTTGATTAAAAACAAAGCCAACAGAGAGTAGGAATGCAACACAGCAGTTCAAACGAGTTAAAACACCGTGAGCACAGTACCTTCATGTCTGCCATCCAGTCCATGATGTAGCGCATCTCCTCAAACAGTCTCTGGAGGTCACGATGGGCGTGCAGCCGCTCTCTGCGTGCAGCCAGAAGCTCTTTCAGGTATTCCCAGAGTCGATGCACATTATCCCTCCGCGCAGTAACACGCCGCACATCATGGTACCTCTCTGCTTCCAGCTCTTTGGCAACGGCCTCCACAGCGGCCACTCGCTCCCAATATGCCCCAATGTCTGTCTCAATCGCTTCGTGTTTGCGGGTGGCAGCTTCCACAGCTCCCAAGTCAGTTCCAAAGTTGTCCTAATAACGGAGGAAAGTGAGCTTGATTACAGCAGAACTGTTCAATGTATTCAAGTCAGAAATAAGAATGCATCTGTAGCCACACATGTGTGTCTTTAGTTGTCTTACCTGAGACACCAGCCTCTGGTTCTCACTCAGCCACGTTTCCCTCATAGCTGCTTTGCGGTCAAAACGTGCAGCGAGCATCTCCAGCTTCTCCTGGCGAATCAACTCGTTTCTCAGTGCCAGCTCCCGTTCATGCTCTGCCTTTTCCAGTCGCTCCCATGCCTGCCACAAGAAAACAGAGGAAGTTTGTAACACCCTGCAACTAGGATACCAATACAGCATACATGCTACATGCTGATTACGTTTCTTGTTGGAAAACCATTTGGAGCCCTTTTGTAGAGCAACCCATACCTTATTGATGTCAGAGATGAGTTTGCCCTCTCTTGGCATGTAGACTTTCTGATTGTTTGCTCTCATCTTGCTCTGGATAGTGAAGAGGAGAACTTCCAAGTTTCCTTTCTCTGTAAATCTGTGGAGACAGAAACCACCTTGGTTTGACATAATGTACAGCTTCTCACTTTGGATCCTAATTGATAACAAGCATTGGGTTCATTCACTGGGTTATATTAACCCACTCACTTGGGGGGTTTCTCCACAGTCCGGTAGGAGTTAAAAGCCTGCAGCTGGTTTTGCACAGCACTCAGTGAGTTAGCTAGCTGCCGATCATTGAGCGTCCCTATGGTCTGCTCAATCCACTGCAGCAGCTCCGAGGCAAGGGTCTCGTACTTCTCTATCAGTTGGTCAGCCTCGATAGCATAGTCCAGTACCTGCAACCGAGAGGGATCTGTGAATCAAAGCAACTCTACACATCGCGCACGCACGCACACGCGCGCACACACACGCACACGCGCACACACACACACACACACACACACACACACACAGCTAACCTTGCCAATTCGCTTGCCCTCCACTGCCAGAGCTTTCATCTTCGAGAAGTAATGGTAATAGGTTGCCACATAGGTTATGATGGACTTTTCATCGGGTTGATCAACATTAACATCTGGAGAGAAAGAAACATGATCGATGTACACGGAACTCTTTCTTTTACTTGAGTGACCATAAACCTTTTCATGCACAAACAACACAGTTAAGTATCGAAACAGCATGAATGGGGAGTTTAATTGGCGCCAAACTGTTACTATCTTTGGACATGCTTTTTGTGATGTCACTGTAGCTGACGTGTGATGTGGTGTTGCAATCAACAGGCATCAGTCTGCTTCGAACGACAGTTTAGTGCCTTGTTGGACGGTGTCAGGCCGTCAGCGTGACTTGTGACAGAAAGGCTTCGATGTTTTTGCGGAGGCGTTACGCACTCACCTTCTGGGTCCAGCAGCTTGGTGAGCCCAAGATCCTTCTCAGCCACATTGAAAGCATTCTGAAGATTGTAGTGAGCATTGGACCTCTTCAGGTTGTCAAACTCAATCACGTCGGGTCTGCAAAGACCAGGGACAAATTATGGTTTTAATAATAACAGATGGCAGAGCAGGGTGAAAGCCAATAGCAATACAATTCAGGCTTACATGTAGACATATAGCATCACTTATCTGTTGTATAGAGTGAAAACATTTTGCAGTCCACTTCAAAGCATGTCTATGTTTACTGACCAGAGTGCATTAAATGATCCATTGGATTTAGGTATAGTCATCTGCAGGCACACAGGTTTATCTGTGGATTAGGCAAGCTGTTCCTGCCAATTATTGCTTATTCTTGCCTGAACCAGGTTTGAATTTTGAGCTTACTAATGCATTGGAAGGATGTAAAAATCAGTAAATCACTCAAACTTTAATGACCAAATAGGCATGAATTGGCATTTCCAAAATATGAGAATGCGGACAAAAAATGCTATTTCCTCATGGAGGCTCAGTGAGCATGCCCAGAGGTTTGAATTGTACAATGGTCATGAAACATTACACTCCACAGCATGTTCCTAGTTCATGAAACATATGAAATCGCATTGCTTTAACAAACTATTTGCATATTGTAAGTGCCTGCTGTTGTGACTGTAGTTTGAAAGGGGCCTGATCATGTAAATGGCAGCGTCATGGTTTACATGAATTGGTTCACTAACTCTAATGAAAGCAATGTTTGCATTCATATATCAAGTATCACCTTAGACATTCATTGCATTGAACAGCAGGGTGTGCAAGAGAGTTATCAAGCATGGCTCTTCATCAAAAATAAGTGGGTTATTATTTCTGTGACCTAGGTCATCTTACTCCCTATTTTCATCCTTTCAGCCATAGTGCAGACTGAAGGATGGGACGAGTAGGAGGAGACCTAAATAAAAAAAGGGGATAAAAACACCCCTGAGACCCCTGGTACTGGGACAGGTGCTCATTAGGTTAAGAAAGATAAAAGAGAGGGTGAATATTCTTTAAAGGAAAGACCTGTTATAATGAATCACAAGTATATGCTTAACAGGGGCCAGTTGTATTGTAGGAGGTACAGGAAGAAGTCAATGACCTGTGTTTGTGCACGATGGCACTGAACGCCAGGCCATCCCTCCAGCTGGTGGTGAAGTTGTGGATGTTGACATTGGGGTATCTGCAGAGGCCAGATAAGAAGTCATCAATCATTAACTCATCAGTTACCACTTCAGTAAAACCACTAATATCATAAACGGTTAGGTATATCTTCAACAAATCAAAAGTATCTATCCCGTGTGATTAAGTCATCCCTTTCCCACTCTTTTCTCACCCAGCAGTTTTCATTTGGCACCAAAGCAGCAGGGCCTCTTTAGCGGATTTCTTCTCCTTGTTGTCCCCAGTCTCCACACTAATGTCCTGGATCTGTCAGCACAGCATTGTTTAGTTAAGACTGTTCCCACATCACTTTACACAATTGCTAGATAACTAGTCCTTGCAATGTCATGACTATAATCTATTATCCGTTTGTATATTATACCAAATTAGACAAGTTAGACTAAAATATTAGCATGAATATATTAGCATGAATATCTTTTAAATCACAATGCAGCAGTATTAACTTCTATTAGGATTTGAGGATGGGCTAGGCTCCATGCAGAGACCTGACATCTCAAAGCCAAACCCGCTTCACGTGGCACACGCTCTTCAACACTACTCTATATGTTACCTGGAAGCGAAGGATGATGGTCCAGATGAGACCCAGGGTGAGACGGTGATTCCCATCTACAATGTCGTGTGAACCCATGTTTTCTAGATGGACTTTTTGCTCCTTGAGAAACTGCAGGGCTTTATCAACATTCTCCAGGCAGTGGATACGCATGCGGCCCTTAGTGGGTTTTGGCTGAGGGGAGCAGAGGAAAAATAAAGATTACAACATACATGGAGACGAAAGGGCGGCAGTAATTTAAAAGTCGAAGCAGGAGGAGAAGTACATAAAAAAAGAAAGAAGAAATGGAGAGCATGATTTCTCCTTCCTCCTGACTTGTGGTGCAGGGTGAGGGTCATGCTCAGGACCTGGGTCAGGGTTACGACAGAGAGAGGGAGAGGGGGGGGGGGGGGTTCTGTGTGACCACAGATTATACTGACCAGCTGTTCTCCCGAGAGCACCTCCAGAAGGCGGATTAGCATGCGGCCATCGCGCAGGTCCGTGTACAAGTCACCAATGCGAGAAGTCACACGGCCTAAGTGAGAGTTTACCCATTTGGTAAAGGTCTTCTTCTGTACTGCTTCACGCTCATCTGCAAAAGAAACAACAGGGAGAGAGAGAGAGAGGGGCTGAAGTTGATTTACACCAAGAGTACAATTGACTTCCCCTGACTGAGATGCCACCGGCATCAATATCAATGCCGCCAGGGATATATATATTTACAAAGAATCAATTTGGCTTCGAAACAAACACCAACACAGTCTCCAACTTTGGTCACTCCTGAGAGCACACGGATGACAGTAAATCACGCGGACTGAAGCCCTGGCCCTGAGCAGTTCATTTCACAGATAAGCTACGCCATTAATTCTATAGGATCACTGCATTGACAGCTTAGTGAGAGGTTTTCACTCCTCGGACCAAAGTGTACTGATGACTCCGCTCACGTGTGCTTTGCTAATTACTCTGATGAAGTGATTTAAGGAGAGAAAAGTGACAATGCAAAACTGCACATGAAGACAATGGCATTTGCGGTTTCTTCATTGGAGCAGGACTAAAAAAAAAAAATAGAATCACAATAAATTAAGCTGTAACAGCAGCTCAGACATATGGACCGAGGGAGTAAGAAGCTAATCCTGCTTTGCCACCTAACAAGGTGACCTCATTTCTAGGACGCAAGGTCTTCCTGCCTTTTGAAAGCACCATTGTAGCATTGTACTTAATGACCTGAAGCAGACAGTAAATGGATCAGAGGAGCAGCTCTGTGATAATGAGATGACAAAATAAAACCTACATGCATCCGTGTGGAATTAAATACAACGGTGAAGATCAATGTCGCTCATAAAACAATGAGAAAAAGCCTTCAAAGCAGCTTGGTGTAACAACATGAACCCAAAAGTTACATCTTGTGCGCTTCATATGTTGCATCAAATCAGCCTCGAGGGGGAAGGTCTGTACACAAAGTATCCTTCTCCCTATTCGATTCAACCATTTCTTAGTATTATTACTAAATGTTGCCAACGGTCTTGTTTTACTGAAGTTAAAGCTCAGACAGCATGGTTTGTTTTATAGAACAATACACATTGCATTTCTCTAAACCACATACATGCTACATGCTGATCTCATGTAGAACGTAAGCCTTGCAACTGCAAACTACTGTGACGTTCAAATGCAACACTATCGGCTTTCAACCCCGAAGGCAAGGTCCACATATGAAGGCAGTTCATGTAATAGTGGGACATTTTGAAGGTCAGCAAGTTGAACATAGTCGTATCAAAAGAGGTCCACGAGATTTAATCACGAGGTCAGTACAATAATGACAGTTCTTGTGGAATTTAAAAAAAATCTTTTGTTTGCACTGAAAGTGAATGAGATTGGTTGAAGCATGATAAAAGAAAGCTATTAGTGGCTCAGGAAGTATTACTACTTATTAACTCATAACTGTCTTTGACTGATTAAGAAATACTAAGCCACTGCAAAAAGAGCAATGTGAAGTGACCAAAGCCAGCATGTTGTGCAAATTACCACTCTACCAACTGTCAGCTAAAAAAAGAACAAGATTTTGAAATGTCACACAAGCTTTCTAAGGTGTAGTAATACCAGGGGACGTAACGCTTGACCTGTTGCGAGCTGTAGGTGTTTCCCTTGTATCTATACTGTACTACTGGAGAGGTCCTCTTTTGAAATAACTAATACAGATAGCTTCTTGTAATGTTGTGCTTTAACAGCAAGGTTACAGCAATCTGCTGATCATTTCCTGAAACAAACAATAAAGACTGTCACAGCTAATGTTAAAAATGTCTGTGTTTTGGGGATCTCGCAGCATTGAAATGAAAATCTCAAGTCACACCGTCAAGAAAACATCACTAAAACGGGTTTGTTACCCTAGCTCAGTGATGCAATGACACAGCACTGTGGATCGCACTTCCTTGCCTCGGTTCTCCTGACAGCAGTGTCTGCCAACGTGCACTAACCCGCATTAAACGAAACAATAACAGAATATATTCCATTAATCAGTATAAAATGAGGCTGTCCGTGCTCTGCACCAGCGCTGAGGGCAGCAGAACAACACATGGAAGTGGGTAGGAGAAGAGAGCCGAACATTAAATGAAAAAGAGAAATATGTGGCTTTTTGTACTGCTGGTAAGTGACATGTACCTGCTTGTAGTATGAATACCCATGATCGTCTATTTGGGTGTATTCTTGTGTAGTAGAGTAGTAAAAATCTAAATTTCCAAATATTAACTGGTTCTTGAATTGTCCGTATCTCACACAAGACTGCACGAGCACATGAGCATTATGTATCATCTACTGATGTCTCACCCCGGCATACCTCTCCAATTTCCTGCTTGAGGGCTGGGTAATAATGGAGGGGGCACATGCATTACAGACAAAGAGCTGAACAGCAGATAAACCCAATGACATTACTGTTAATAGCTCCAAAATTACACATACACATGAGTCAACACGTTTTATGAAAAAGCCCTCAACAATGTGTTTTGAGTTTTCAAATTTCCAGATTCAGCACAAATAAATACTTGAAGTTTTGATGATAGAAATAATAAGTAACATGTAAAGACAAAGTTCATTCAAAGCAGGTGTCTTTCATAGCCTACAGGTATATTAGGAGGGTTGGAGATGTTATCTGCTAACCAGCTATCAGCCCTTTGTCTTCTGGACATGTGTACATTTTCCTGGTTTACCTACGTTCAGAGATATCAGACAAACAAGAGAATTTGATGGCATCACGCTCAAACAACAACTATCAGGCAAACAGCCCCGCTGTATTTTAGCCCTGGTTGGTCCGTTACATACTGTAAAAGGCTGTTCTGGTTGTTTGAGTTTTGGGGCCTTTTTCCTTTCATTTTATTCTCATTTGAACGTTCAAAGAACTGCCTCACTAAACCTGCTTTGTTTCTCTTCCCATCTCTCCCATGCACCACGTTAACAGATTATTCCATTATTAAAGGACCACTAAGCGATTTGAAGCTGTTCAATGAGCCAGCAGAGGTGGATTACTGTGGCAGGTGAGCTTCAGTTGAGGAGCCTACATTCCTCCTGGCGCTTGGTCATGTTGTGACAGCACCCGGCCCTGAGGAGGAGGCAGTGGGCAGGGGTCCTGAAGAAGAACTACTGCAACCTTGCTGGTGCTCCGCTGCTAATAACAAGGCTACTGAACAAGCACACAAGGATAGACAAACACGAATATCATTCTGTTAAACAAACACAAACTTGTCATCAGTAGCTGTTACGGTGGATAAGGCCAACAGCGGTGCAGCTGTTTTCTCTAACAATGTGACATTTGTGGATTGTGTGGTTAGCGCACGGGAGGATATGTCAACTGTAACGTTTGCACATCCACGTCAATGGTTTATCATTTTTACTAACCCGTAAGAATGCTTTGCAACAGAAACTGTGTTTATTTTTAACAGAACAGGCTGGTGGCTGAAGGTGAGACAAGAACCCGAGACTATGTCTCCCGCATGTTGTCAGATGCAAAATACTTGCAGAGCCTGAAAACATTGTTACACAATTACACAATAGAGGACAAGAGAGAATAGTGGGAAATTGTGAGCATTACAAAGCAAGCCGAGTAATTACTAGTTAGTCTTACTAAGCATTGCATAATCAGTAATATCTTTCCACACCAGCCTTGAAACGTGGACAGTTTAAGGCAATAGTTTCATGCAAGGTGTCATAAAAACTGCCTTATTTACTTATGTCGACATGCCTGCGATCCACCACTAAATAAATATTTGCTGCTCTGAATGTTATATGCATTCCTAACAAGTATACACTATATCTAATATATATTAATCAACAACCTATTTTTTCTGTGATATTTTACTACAATACAAAATATGATGAATGTTAAAACTGGACTCTACCTCTAAATCATTGAGTAGTACTGTATGTGCCTTAAAAGCATTAATTAAATATATTCTCATTTAAATTTCACAGAAGTGAGCATTGAAAGCTCCCTGGACTATCCTGGAAATCTGCCTGTACTTCTTGAGCCTGTTTTTGTGTAAGCAAGGCAAACAAGCGATTAGAATTTTCTAGGCCATGTTTTTTCCCCATTGTTTACTAATGGCAGATCAGAACTAGTAGTTACAGGCATCATTGGATGTTTCAAAGGCATATTTGGGCATGTCCAGTCACTTTAAACATGCTTTAAGTATACGTCAAGGTGGGGGAGTATAGTGGGGGCCTGGCTCGGCCAGTGCAGTATCTACTATTGAAGGTGCTGGGATTTAGCTTGCTGTTGCTTTCTATTTAACCCCCAAATAAACTTTGGCACTGTTGATGACGATGATTATCTACAGGTAATCTGAGCACATACGCCGCCAGACTTGATCCTGTCTGTGTGGCTCATAGAGGCTCGGATCATATTTGGTGATAAAATGGAGACATATACAACACAATGAATCGCTGAGCCAAGGCTCATGCACATCCATAATGGAAAACAATGTCACATCACAACAACTTACACTATGTGCCGTTTAAGACAAACAAGTCGTATGTCACTAATTCATATTATGGGGGCGAGGAGGTTGGGACGAGACCAAGACCAGGTGTTGGTTGAAACGGCACCTGCGGGGCCGGTGGACATGGAGAGGCGACGAGAGGCCCAACGGCTGAACACGCGCCTCGAGGAAACCCCGACTGGAAGCCACAGGGAGGAGCGACTGTGGGGAGCAAGGCAGCGGCCCGGGCGGTCAGAGGAGGCAGAGCTTTATGAGCATATTCTAAACAATAGCCAAAACAATGTCAATTTAAAACTTTAATTTAAATTAATGATTTCCCATGGGAAAGTTTCTATATTTTCCGCATGCCACTTTTTGTTAAATAAAGTGGTCCCCATTGCAACAAGGGTCAAATCAAATCTTGAGTGAACAACCATCATTGATGCTATGAAATACACAGGAATAAAGCCACGATGGCTGGCTGTTCAGTGTACTACCGTGTTAGCCAGTGTTCCAAAGACAGATCTCTAGAAAATGGCAAAATACAAATAAAAAGAAAGAATTTGGATTAATTAATAGATCTGTAGCATGTATTGTCAGAATGTTTTGGAAAAATTGATAAATGTTT